TATAATAATTTTTAGTGTAGTTTAATATTTGTAATATAATTTAATTTGAATATTTAAACTAGAAGATTTATACTTCATATATTTTAACTCATATCAAATTACATTTTAAATATATTCAATTTTGTTAATTAGTTATATTTGTTTATATAATAAATGATTTTATCAAAATATATATTTAAAATTTTCAAATTGCAGAATTGTTTTTACTTAATCAATTTCAAATTAGTGTATTAACTAAAATACTATCAATTAAGTATTATTGTGATTTTAACCAAATTCATTAAAAATGATATCACTATATAAAGTATTTGATAAAACATTTTAAACTATCGTGGATTTTATAAGATCAAATAAAAGTGAAAAAAAATTATATATTTATGTTTAAATTAAGTAGAGAGATTTTAGAAAGTTGGCAATTAATATAATGTAGTTAAAGTATCTTTGTAACGGATCTTTGCCAATTGAGTCTTCAATTGACTCCTTACTGAATCTTCTCCTCCAATTTGAGTATTAGAATGTCTCATCTGCTCCATGATCCGCTTCTCTAGTTCTATAATCGAATCATTAGTCTGGATGTCTCTTATGCTCCATTGACTTCCACTAGACTTTAGAACCTTTCTAAATAGCTAAAGATAGTTCTTCAAGAGAGAAACACTAGGGCCGTTGCATAGAACAACCCAGTGGAGAATAATCTTTTGTGTAGTCATTAAGCTAAATCCGGCAAACAAATATCCGTTTCGACATCTTCATCGATGTTGTAAACATAATCAAAGACTGTAAAAAAGAGAGAAGGAGAGTGAAGCATTCATCAAGAACGTATCAGTCTCTATCTTGAGGGAAAACCCAATGTAGTTGAAGAGGTAATTACAGCAGAAAGAACCTATCGATTTACAGGTGGCTTAGAGGAAGACGTTTTTATACGCTTTTCGAGTTTAAGCGGTGGTAGCGGAAAAAGTGAAATTACACATATGATGAAGAAGATGAATGGAATCTACATATTTTTCGCTTGCAGAGATGCGTAGAACATGGAGCAGGATAATAAAATGACAGTGACAAAGTACGATAGTAGTGCAACCGTTCTTGCTCAGAAAATAGAGTTTTTGGTTTTGAGAAATAATATGATGAAAGGGAAAGGATATTGAAAAGCAGATAGATCATTATCCGCTTGAACGCCATTGCAAAAAATTCTTGGAGGAATAGATGTGACGATTTTTTTTTGCCGAAAGGCCTTCATTTTCTTTGTTCTGAGGTTGCGCGGAAGCAATTTTTATAAAACTTTTGGAACCGGATACATGTTAGAAGAAGAAAAATCATAAAAATTATAGTTAGCCACACAAAATCTCCCCAAAATCTAATACATAAATTTTATATTAATTCAACTAAACATAATAATCAAATAGTCTTTTCTTTAGAACGAATAATAGTTGAAAATAAAAAAATTATATCATTATCTTCATTCTCATCTTCGTCAATTCCATCAAACAAAATGGTTTCATAATTTCTTGTTGTCGGTAAAATCAACTCTCTTAAAGTAAATTTAATTCAATTAATCACTTCCAATATCTCCCACATATATGATTCACTTGCCATTTCTTTAAAGATGATCTCTTAAAAAAAGGTGCAGATATTAGTATGATAAAATTCAAAATCAGAAGATTAGTTTGGGTTTTTTTTGTATGTATAAGAATACTACTATCAAAAGTAATTTTATGTTTTTTACTTTTTAAGACATTAAATTAAAACGGAATTGTAAGCTTCCAATGAGATTTTAAAGAGGATTTATTAGAAGTGTCGTCATGAAAGCAAGATTCGGAAAGCTTCCAATTCCGACTCCAATGAAGCGGGAAGCAGAACTCCAACGAAGGTTCCGTGCTTCCTAAGTTCACAAACATAGAATTTTTCGATCTTACTACGCTTTAACCAATAAAGCCATCTAAAACCAAAACTCAAAAGACAACTATGAGCCATGTAAGTGGTTCTCTCTAATTCTATGTATCAATTGTAGAACAAATATCTCAATAAGGTGTTTATGATCATACAAATAAACTAAAGTGATTTGATTGATCTAAATGTCTAGTCTTCAACGCTTTTCATAGTGTTTTCAAATTGACTCATGACTCATCTTCTGATTCTATTTCTCTATGTAGCTTCTTCGATGTTGAGAATTTTAAGCGCGGAATCTTATGTGGGCATATAAAAAAAAAATTATTCTTCTCCGGCTTGGGTAGATATTTGTCAATCCAAAACATTTTCATCTCTGCCATCTTTAGTCTAGTCTTTAGCCACACCCTTGAGTCAAAACTTTAGCCTCATTACCTCCTCCGTTCAATCGGATTCCACGAGATTTCAGAGCTATTGTATAATTGCATATAATTCTTTAACAGGGAAAGACTTGAGCTAATGCAAAGAACTATCTGTTGGGGTATGACCTTATGGGCTGTCATTAGCCAAATCAAGCAAATAAGTAATTGTCGCACAGTTCGACGTGTCGTAAAGGTAATCGTTTGCTATCAAGTAAAAGAGGAAGGAGAGCAAAGTGTGCTTTAAGAACGTATTCGCCTCTATCTTCAAGGCTGAGCCAATCCAAATGAAGAAGTAATTGAAGCCAAAAGAACTTAAGGATTTAGAGGTTGCCTAGAAGAAGATGTTATTTTTATGCTCTTCGAGATTAAGAGCCCGAAGCGGAAGAAACGGAATTGCAAAAAATGATGAAAAAGATGAACGAGACCTTTTCCATTGGTAGAGTCTCGTAAAATTTGTAGCAAAAAAGATGATAGGAGTGACAAGGTATGACAATATTGCAACCATTCTTGTGGTTTTCATGGCATTTCTTTTTGATGCGGAGAGGCTGCCATGCATCGCCTCCTTAGGGCATATCAATGACAAAATATTCTCCTCCAACTTTGGTACTAGATGTTGGTCGATCTGAAACATTCTTATAGCAACCATCTTTAGCCGAGTTTTCAACTAGCTGTCTTTAGTCGAACAATTAGTCTCGCTGCCTCTTTCGTCTATTGGATTCCACGAGATTTCAGAAATTTCCTATAGAATTGAAGATAATTATTCTATATAGAAACATTTGGGCCGATGTAGAGAACTCTCGATTGAGGTATTATGACCTTATGGTCCGTCATTAGCCCAAATCAAACAAATAAGTAACAATCGCACAATTCGACGTCTTATCGATGTCATAAAGATAATCAATCGACAATCGCTAGAAGGAGAGTAAACCATGCATTAAGAACGTTAACGTATAAGTCATGTCCACAAGCGGAACTAAATATGATGTGCGTTCATTCAATCACTGCACATGAGTGTTTTAAACACAATTAGGCTTTTCTCTAAAACACGCTTAGCTCCAAAGGAACCAGTGGACCAATGTTACTGGGAATATTCACTCTCTTGAAGAAAAGTAGACATAGTTTTCGAATATTTTATCATTGTTTTTCGGTGGAAACTCCTTATAGAATTTTGTAGGAAACTAATGGGGGAAAGCATCAAAGCGCATGTACAGTCTTACAATCAGTGGGCTTCGAGGCTCCAAGAGGTTATTAGTAATTGCTAAGTATTATAAATTAACTATGGTTTGTTGTTGGTAATGTCAAGTAACTATGGTTTGTTTAGGGAGTGTTCATGAGTCTCCATCTATATAAGATGTCTTAAGAGAATTAGTAGGTTTTATCGAGTATTTGGAGGAAACTTAGGGGGGAGTGGGAGGAGCTCCATTAATAAATCCTCAGGTTCCTTGGTAATTCACCAAAGTATCTACAAAATATCAGTTTATATAAGCTACACGTATCATACTTCGAGAAGAAATGCATTTGTGCTGCAATGGTGTCAAGTCTAAAAATTGCTTAGAAGAAAGGATTTTTCTTAATAGAATGGAGTAAAAGCAAAAGAGCTCTTTGTCCTACTGACTTCTTTCTCACATAGTATCATACTTCGAGAAGAAATGCATTTGTGCTGCAATGGTGTCAAGTCTAAAAATTGCTTAGAAGAAAGGATTTTTCTTAATAGAATGGAGTAAAAGCAAAAGAGCTCTTTGTCCTACTGACTTCTTTCTCACATAGTATCATACTTCGAGAAGAAATGCATTTGTGCTGCAATGGTGTCAAGTCTAAAAATTGCTTAGAAGAAAGGATTTTTCTTAATAGAATGGAGTAAAAGCAAAAGAGCTCTTTGTCCTACTGACTTCTTTCTCACATAGTATCATGTCAAGCTTTATCGGATTATTATCCACGACAAAAACGAGAGCTATTAATGGTTTGAACTAAATCATGGCCCAGTTCTTTTACTAAACGCTGCCACAGCGGCAGCGAGGGAGTAAAACGACGTGTCATGAGGAGTGTCTTTTTCAGTATAAGAGAAATACCAATCTTGTTTTACTTTTAATTTGAGCTTGATTCTCTTTCTATTCTATGCACTTCAGATTGATTTTTCAATCATTCTTAAACACATTCTTAATTTGGACCTGTAATTTAAGGTGAAAGACAAACAAAAAAAACAGAATCAGCCAATGAAACAAAAATAATCCATTAACATGATTTTGATTAATCTTTAGACTCAAGAGTGTTTTAACGACTAAAGGTTTGTACATCAGCTTCAAGGACAAAACGGTTGATTAAAAAGTATTTGGTAAGAACCCGAAGTTTCTTGTGTCAGAGTTTTACAATTTTTATCTAGAGTTTTAGAATTTTCATGTTAGTCAAATTTCAGATCTATTGTTTATGTTTCTGTTGTTAGTTTAAGGAAGAAGAAGAAGAAAGTTTTTTTACTAAAGTCGTTGGTGGAGAAGGAAATGAGACATTGCCTTCAACTGGAACAACCACAGGAGGCTTCACGAAGTGCAAGTGCCAAAGACACAGGTTTGGTATGAAGGACAGAATCAAAGAATCATCATAAAGGCTCAAACTGTTAAGAATTAAAGTTTGTCTCTGAAGCAATCACTTATACAACTAAAGGTACAAGAGAATCCTCAAAAACGTCATTTCCTGCAAGTGTTTCAAAGAAAGGCTAATTCAAGGAGAAGGGACTATTGTTTTTCTTAGATCTGGAGGCATTCTTTCATCAGAGAAATTCTTACCAAAAAGTATCATCTTTCATTAGAAAGCTCAATTAAAAGTAAAACCTACACGAAATAAAAAATAATGTAAAGGGAAAGTAACTTGAAAACGTTAAGGAACGAAACGTGTAAGAGGAGATGATGCACTGCATTAGACAGTCATCAAAGGTTTGTCAAGGACTGTCTTCATTACTATCTTCTACTTCTTTATTTACATTTGACCATAGTTGTAGCACGTGATCGCAGGTAGTGCATCCCGGTTTTCAAACCCTGTTGCAACTCAATAGTTTGCTCATATGCTCTTTTGAAACTCGATAGTTTGGGCAATTTTTTAAGTAAGATCATACCTTAGTCCAAGTATAAAAGTGTAAAGAAGTGAGTTTTTGGTAGCTAGGTTCTTCCAGGTTTATGTTTAAGGTTTGGCTTTGATCTATGTAGCATCCACGATCAACAGCCATGTCGACCACGGTTCTTTGTTTAATCTCCCATGCAGTTCTGTGTTGAATTGAAGGAAAGTCAAATCCGAGGTTCACTGCTGGACATAGTAGTAGGTGATCAAGAAAACTAAAAAAATGAATGAGAACCTTTTACCTGTAAATAGCTTTCATGTCATCAGGTATCTCTGGGACATTACGTATCGAACCGTTCTCATCAATGATCTTCTCTTTCAGTGTTGGAGTCCAAAGACCCATTTCAGTCAAATCATGAAGAAGATGCTTATTCACAAGTATGGATTCCCCACTGAACAAAAGCAAGGAAATTAATGCAATAACTAAACCAGTGGGAGGAAACTAGAAACATTTAATCACACACCTCAATCCTCTGTGGCTGTAGATGTTTGATGTGTATGGCTCGAAAGATTCGTTGTTCCCGAGAATCTGACTGGTTGAAGCAGTTGGCATCAGTGATACTAAAAGAGAGTTCCTCACTCCATTCTTTGATATCATTTCCCTAAGAAAATCCCAGTCCCAGCGGTTTGATGGAGTCACATTCCACATGTCAGGTTGAAGAATCCCCTAGAGAATCATCGCACACAATCCACAATCCGACATTATGAATTTTAGTCATAGGATATTGACATAATTGCAAAATGAGATGCATACCTTGCTCATGGGACTTCCTTTGTATGTCTCATATGCATCATTTCTTGCAGCAAGCTCTGAAGATGCTTTGAGTGCATGGTAGTATATGGTTTCAAATATATCCTTATTTAGTTTTTGGGCCTGATTAACAAATCAAACTGCTTAGAACAGAGAAAACATAACTCTTCCCATATATGGTTGATCATTACACTAACAAGTCTACCTCTGGAGAGTCAAATGGCATTCCAAGAAGGATAAATGCATCTGCAAGACCTTGTACTCCAATACCAATAGGTCTATGACGCATGTTTGAAGTTTCTGCAGTCTCCACAGGATAGTAGTTTCCGTCTATTATCCTATCGAGATCATTAGTAACAATTGCAGTTACCTGCCCACACAAAAGTTAAATACAAAAGGCTTCAGAGATAAATTTCTTGAGATTCATATTTCTAGTCAAATGAGGCAAGTGTTTAGTATCTATCTGACCTCGGCTAACTTGTCATAATCAAAGTAACGACTCTTTGACCGCAGGCTGCCAGCAAGCTTAGATGGATGAGAGTCCAATGGGACGTCCTGTTGTGAGAAGAATAATGTTAAGAGCTATACTTGAGTGACAAAGAAAAAGCAATTTCTAATTCACTTTCTCTCTAACAAATCTGGCCAAAGCAATTGATGCAAGATTGCACACAGTGGTTTCCGTTGGACTAGTGTACTCAATAACTCCAGTACATAAACTAGAGGACTTTATGGTACCAAGATTTTGCTGATTGCTTTTTCTGTTGCATGAATCCTACAATAGAGTATCAAAATCAACAATAATTAAGAACCAGTGAGTTATAAAAAAAAAAAGCTATAGAAACATGAATGTTACTAAACCTTAAAAAGCATGTATGGCATTCCTGTTTCTAGCTGGGATGTCAAGATATCAAAAAAAGGTTCCTGCGCCGGAAAAACCTTCTTCGCCTTTCCCTAAGACAATGAACGAACATAACTTGTATTTGAGGTAACAAGAACTCAAGTTTTATAAGAAGCAGTATACATATACATGGGATGAAATAGGTACTCACCTCTCTTTCATACTTTGTGTACAGTCTCTCAAATTCTGTGCCCCAGCAATCTGCCAAACCTGGAGCTTCATTAGGACAAAACAATGACCACTTCCCATCATGTTTGACTCTCTCCATGAAAAGATCTGGAATCCAGAGAGCTATAGCCATGTGCTCCTCCTGACTGTTCTGTACCTTTCCGTGGTTCTTCTGGATCTTTAGAAACTCAAAGATGTCAGCATGCCATGGCTCCAGGTATACAGCAAATGGTCCTTCACAATATATACATGAGAGAGAGATCATATACTAGACAAAAATGATATGGCCAAAAGTAGCAAAGCTAAGAATTACCATTCTTCTTACCTCCTCCTTGATCAACATCCAGCATTGGAACAACACCATTTGTGCCCTGGATGTTATGAACTGAAACACTAATACTGCCTGCAGATTTTCTTATAACATCACACTTTTGGAGTGTGCTCTCGATGCTATCATCTCTCATGCAGATAAGAAAGCTGCTACTTAACTGCCATTTCAATTTATTTTCAATAATAATCAGCAAATTAAAGAATATATTTCATCACAAGATATAGGTATATTTTATTTACTTGAGGCCTTGGAGTTCCTGCGTTGAAGAGAGTAGGAGATGCATGAGTGAACAATCTCTGAGACATCAAATGGTAAGTTTTGATTGCAGAATCAATATCTTCCATGTGAATGCCAACAACAACTCTCATGAGCATGTGTTGAGGCCTTTCAACAACTTTCCCATGGACTTTCAAGAGGTACAACCTCTCAAGCGTTTTAAATCCAAAGAAATCATAATCAAAATCACGGTCATATACGATTTCCCTGTCCAGACGAGTAGATTTCTGAGATTGAAACCAAAGGAAAACACCGCGATTCAGCGATACATTGTATTCACACCAAGAAACATATATATATATATATATATATATATATATATAATTACATTACCTCCATAACTATTCTAGATACATGCTCGTCTATTAGAGAAGACTTGAGTCCAGACATGTCTGAAACCATGAAAATATAAACACAAATCAATGATACACTCAAATCAAACCACAAAAACCTGAGCATGACTCTCACGTACGTCTCAGAAAATGATTTCTTAGTGTTCTTGTGAAGATTTGAGACAGCAATCCTAGCAGCAAGCTGAAAATATAAATAAATGATATTTCAATTATAAGGATCATCAGGTGGATAATGCAAAATCATATATTATTGGGAGAAATACTGACCGAGGCATAATGAGGATGGTTACAAGACATGGCAGCAGCAGTGTCAGCAGCCAAGTCATCGAGTTGAGTCGTAGTGATTCCATTATAGAAACGAGCAGAGACTTTCTGAGCAACAAGGAGGGGTCACAATGGTAACTGCTAAGCCCATTACTTAGCTTGTTAAGTCGCAAAGTAATCTTGTCCAAGTCAACAGTTTCCAGCCATCCATCGCGCTTGACCACGTACATGCTCTTTACCATTAGCAGAGGAATTATGTCAGAATAATAGTTTTTTTTGTTATATATATATATATATATATATATATATATATATATTTTGAAATACAAATATGAAATAAATATTGAAGTTTGAAGTTATTTACGATGACATGCCATTGATATTTATTAATTAGATTTGTTTTATTTTGGTTAAGATATTACAATAAAAACTATTAGCCAATAATTATAAAAAAAAAAAAGACAAAAGCATCCACCATATCTCAACAATGGTCATTTCTATTCCGTATAATTTGAAAATCGCTTTCCAAATATTTCCATATATTATCAACAAAAATTTCGCAAAAAAAAAAAAAAAATCATACAACGGAATTTAGTTAGATTTTAAAATATTTCCTTAACTAAACTATACTAACTAATTATGATTACTATATATGGAAGGAACGATGAAATCTATATATATATTTTTGAAACACTTTTAGCAAATAAATCCTGGGGTTGGGCAGTATTTACAAAGAATGTCATTGGCATTTATTATTACTTTTACAAAATTTAAATAAAAGATATTAACCAAACAATATCTTGCCTAATTTGTTTCTAAAAATCTCTACACAATCTTTCCATATATCTTCAAAAAAATTTATAGAAAATATTTATATTAACACTTTGCATAGCAATAAAAATACTAATTTATAATAATCAAAATATTCACATAAAAAATCAAATACACATACAGGAAAAAGAACTATATCTATCATCATTTAAATCGTTGCTTTATTTAAATAAAAAAACACAAAAACTTGAAATGATATACTTTATATGATAAATTTAAATTATATATTAGTAGTATAAATTTAAAATCGTTCAAAGAACGGTATACTACGGGTGAGATCCTAAAATTATTAGATTTTATAACAATAATAATTTATTTTCTTGGATTTTATAATACTAATAATTTAGCTAACGAGATAATATAGACGGATTTATATGGGATGACGGGTTTGGGTCGATATTAATAAATAACGGTATATCACGGATAAAATCCTAAACTTAACAGTAAAAATACAATTATACAATCTTAAACACAAAACAAAAGAAACAATATTAACAAAACAAATCCAACTTAAATTTCAAATTTTTAGTTATAAAAAAACCAACCCACGGTATACTGCAGAGTAAAATATTCAAAATTTTAAAATCCACCATACATCGTTACTTCAAAAAAAATGTATGTTTTCGTATCTATACTTCAAAAATTGATAGATAGATATCTACATTTAAAAATACAAATTAATATGATATATCTTCAGTTAATTTTTTAAAAAATAACATTACATTTTTTAAAAAAATATAGCGCCGCGGTATACCGCGGGTTAAATTCTAGTTGTATACATATAAATGAATTAAATTTGATAATATATTAATAGATTTACAGAAAGGACAATCCAATTTAATAACCACGAATCATCATTTATTTTTAAATTTCAAAAATTCAAATAATAACAAATTAATTTAATTATCTTTTATTTTTAAGATTTTGTCAAGATTTGCATCTTAAATTAAGAAAATAAACTTTTTTTAATAAAAATAATATTAAATAAAAATACTAAGTAAATATTCAAAAAATATTTGAATTTTATGCGGTTTATGAAAAGTTTGGATAATGATAATTTTTATTTATGAAAAAATCGATTTTAGTAACATATTTAAACAATAAATTGATATGCAATATAAAAGAATCACATAAATATCTTTTGAATTTATTTTTTAGAATTGTTTTTCTCTAAAACTATAGATGCAAATTTATTGCTAAACTTTCTGAGCAAGCCAAGCAATATTGAACTCTCACGAAATAAACTAACAAGATTGTCAGATTATTATTTTCTAAAATCCCTAAATCGGCATTGTCTCATCACTATATAAGATCATATCATATTATCATTTTCTTGAACAAAACATCCATTTTTTCTTTCAGTTTCTATGTGTATATTTTTTGTTATCCTTTTTATTTTGTTCACTAATTTATTTGTTTGACTATGACAACTTGAAAAAATGGGGTATAATTGGATCCTAGCTTAGAATTGACATTGTCATTAGCCTAGCTGTCTCCTCTTTGGATAACTCAAGATAGTTCTTGAGGACACAAACACTTGAACCGATGCATACAATAAACCATTGAGGGATAATCTTTTCTGCACTCATTAAGCTAAACCCGGCGAAGAAGTACCCGTCGCACAGTTGTACATCTTCGTTAGACGACAAAAACCCTCGTCGTATTATAATAATGGAATTAGCTCATTAAATCAAAACAAATTGGTCCTATAACGTAGGAGTGGAGTGTTACACCAACCAAGTTGAAGAGTTAATTGCAGTCGAAAGAACCTATCGAATTATAGATGACGTATAGGAAGATGTTATTTATACACTCTTTGAATTTAAGCGGTGGGAGCCGAAAAAGGGGAATCACATAATTTCATATTTATTTATATATTTGTGACATCAAATTTTTAAAATGAAAGGCTAAACTTCCAATACGTAATTGTAAGCTTCCAACGAGCTTGCAAAATGGATTTTTTGGAAATGCCACTAAAGTGGGATTCCAAAAAATTTTGATTCTAATTTGATTCCGTAGCGACGGACTTCTGATGAAGGTTCCGTGCATCCTAAGTACAAAAGCGTAGAATTTTGGATCTTGTTTTGCTTTAATCAATAAAGCCATCTAAAACCAAAACTCAAAGAAAACTATGAGCCATTTATAGTAAAGCCTCTATAAATTAATACTCGATAAATTAATAAGCACAATATAATAATAAAATCTTCCAAGCCCAAGTCGGGCTAGTATAAAAGTAAAAAAATTTTGATAAGCTAATAAGATAATAATATTTTTTTATAATCTCTATGTAAATATATAGTGTTATTAACATAAATTAATAATTATGTAAATTTACACATTTATATATATATATAAAAAATATAAATATATGGTTTTAGTTATTTGTTTATTGAATTTTGTTTTGAACTCATCCTTAGTTTTTTCTAAAAAAAATATTGTGTTTTTAAACTATCTTATTGTAGTATTGTCTATAATTTTTTTTTAAAACAAAAATTTTATTTAAGTTTTTAAATTCTGTAAATGTATTAAACTATCTTATTGTAGTATTGTCTATAATTTTTTTTTAAAACAAAAATTTTATTTAAGTTTTTAAATTCTGTAAATGTATCATTTTCATTTCGATAGTCATATAGGCGGCCCAAATACAACAATTGAGTTCACTTATAATGAATTTGAATGTATGTATATCAGTTGTTTATGTGAATTTTATTTTCTTTGATATTTATTGTCAAAAAATTTGTTTTTTTCTTCTAAATATTAAACTAAGTCCAAAACTAAATTTGTTTTTATAAAATCCAAAATATTAAATTTATTTGATCAAATTTTTAGAATTCATATGTTTCTAAAAATATAGATTAATAAAATATAGTGGTTCCAACATTATTAATTTATAGAGGTTTTACTGTAAGTGATCCTCTAAAGTTCTCTATATAAATTTAAAAATAAAGACCACTATGTGTTGTTTAAGTTCACAACAAAAAACTTACGTGATTTGATTTATCTAAAAATACAAGCAGCCCCGGCCTAACAATAAACAAAGCCTTAGAGCCAAAAATAATTTTGTTCAACTAAATATATATTCATATTTTCAGCATATTCTATACCAACAAAAAAATATTAAGGGCCTTATTCTATTTTTTTTCACAAAAATGGGCCGTGTCTAAGAATTTGTTTTTAAAAACGTATGGACCTTCGGTCCACATATCTATGCCCTACCCCTTTGGGCCGGGGCTGAATACAAGTCTTTGCTTTTTCTGATGTTTTCCAATTGACCTCACACTCCCTTGATTTAGAGATAACAACCAAATGAGCCTACATATTTACAAATTGCATAGAGGAAGATGTTGTTGATACGCTCTTCAAGATCAAACACCGAAAGTGGAAAATGTGGAATCACACATATATTGAAAAAGATGAATATAGACCTCGAAAAAGTCGCATAAATTTTGGAGCAAAAGAAAAGGATAGCAGTGACAAGGTACGACCAATATTGCAACAATTTTTGCGGGTTTTCATGGCCTTCCGTTTTGCTGCGGAGAGGCTGCCATCATCTTTTGTGTGCATATCGTGAAAAAAATGTTCTCCTTCGGTTAGGGTAATAGATGCTAGTCAACCAGAAACATTTTCATCTTTGCCATCTTTAGCCGAGTCTTCAGCCACGCTGTCTTTAGACGAACCTTATGAGCAAATTCCTAATGGCAAGGCCGTGATTACAAATCAGCAGATATACCTTGTTCTAGAAATCGACTTCGGTGGTCGTTTACGTGCCAAGGAGGTAGAAGGACTTTTCAGTTCTCATATCAAAAGGAGAGACAATGGCAATTACATTGTGTAACAAAACAAATATTTTCTTTTAAGCATTGAGTGTCATGCCAGTACATATTTGTATTGATCCAAAACTGTTTGTAACTTTGGCCATCCGGATCATAATGCATTTCCAACGTGTTCTTAGATGCTAGAACGAAATTATCCTCTAGAACAATAATTCCGCCTTGAGCTGAATATGCAAAAGCCACAATGAAAGACAATCTCTCATCAAACCCATACCAAAATCATGATAGTTGTTTTTTTTCAAAAAGTAGTTGACTACGTTGCACATACTTGTTCTTCATCCATTATGCACACTGAACTAAACCAATCCAAGAGCACATATTTCTACTTTTTTTGCCTAGATTTCATCATGGTCGTTGATATCTTTGTTTTCTTGCTTAGCCAATCAACTTTAAAATCACACAGTTTTGTATGAAATGGTTTCGCCGCCTTTGTGATAAACTTCACATCATAAGAAACTCTCCATGCAACAACTTGTAACTCATGCTTAAAATCTCCATGAGTTCGTTCTCTTCTTGTTCTGCATTTCTCTGTTTCAAGTGTATTATTGAATGAGAATTAGAAAAAGAGCTTTAGATGTTTGAGAGAATTGAAAGACATAAAACTAGTACATTGTTCACATATCTTTTACACAACATGACACATACAAACTTATAGAGAGCGACAGAGAGTAAGCTATTCTACACAACCACTCCCACTAGTCTTAATTAGTACTAGACTGTAGCTTAGTCTTAGACTACTTACAATGTACCTGTTTAATAAAAAAATTCAACTGTTGTGCCATTGCAAGTGGGTGTTGAAAAACTTTAATTGATGACATGGATTCATAGATGTTGACAATCCACAACATGTTGAATCGGTAAGAAAAGAGTCCCACCATGCCACATGTCCATTCATTATTGGACACAAAATGCTTTGGAGATTTAAGAAAGATAGGGACACGTGTTACGATTTAATTGGTTACTGAGATTCTTGATAATTTTTTCCACCCGAATTATTTGACATCAATTATTTCATAGTATATTATTTTTTATATTTATTTTTTATACCAAAATTCATAATTTTTAATACTCTATAAATAGAGACTTGTTTAATATGATTTTGACACAAAAAAATCATCTTTTTACGAAATTGATCCCAACAATAACCCTTTAAACACCCAAAATTCTTCTAATAACCCTTTTAACTACCCAAATCCCAATAATTATCAATTTCAAAATCAATTTTCCAACCAACCCCAAAATATACCAAATTATGGTTTTCCTCCAAATTTCTTCATGCCGTCAGCTGTTCCAAACTATCGTCCATATTATGGATCGATGATGTCATATCCATCACAAGCACCCTCTTATTCCTCTACTCCAATGAATAATGAAGTTGTTTCAAATGTTGGAGCAACTGAATATCTAGAATGTTCTACACAAATGGCTTTTGGAGGTATGAACGGTGTTAATGAAGACACTCCAAATACAGAGGATTCAACTCCTGCTCGTCGGAAAAGCTCCAAATGGACCACTGAGCAAAATTTGGTGCTACTCATTGGGTGGATCAAATATGGAACAGAAAGCGTTGTTGGCAGAAACCAAAAAAGTGAAGCATATTGGGGTAAAATTGCTGACTACTGTAATGTTCATTGCTCATTTAATCCTCCGCGCGATGGAGTTTCGTGCAGAAATTATTATAACTACATGAACAAGAATCTAGGCAAATGGATTGGCGCTTATGATAACGCTAAGCGTAAGCAACGAAGCGGGTGGTTAGAAAATTATGTATTGGCAAAAGCGCATGAATTATATTCAAGTGTTAGCAATGACCATTTCAATTTAATTGCAGAATGGCACGCTGTTCGTGATCAACCACGCTATGGTAGTCAAGTAGGAGGAAATACTGGCTCTGGAAGTAGTGGATCTAAGAGATCTCGAGAGAGTGATGCAAGTGATTTTAACTCTGTAGGATCTAGTGCTCATCCAATGGGGAGGGATGCAGCTAAAAAAAAAAGGGTAAAAAGAAAGGCAAGGGCTAAGCCTTGGAAGTGGTCAATGAAGAGTGGAATGAATTCAAACAATTCAAGGAGCAAGAATTGGAACGCTTGGAAAAAATAGCCATGAGGCAAGAAGAGGCAAATCAATTGATGAAAGAAAAAACTCAAACTAAGAGCATCTCGATGATCGGAGCAAAGAGCTGTTGGAGAAGTTGTACCACGATCTATTTGGAAATTAATCGTTGTCAGGTGTATGTTTGTAATTTGTCTCTTTCCGCTTTAATAATATGTGTATGTCTCTTTCTGCTTTAATAATGTGTGTTTGTCTTTTTCTGTTTTGATAATGTGTGTTTGTCTCTTTCTGCTTTGATAATGTGCGTCTGTCTCTTTCTGCTTTAATAATGTATGTTTGTCTTTTTCTACATTAATAATGTGTGTCTTTGTCAGTAATCCATCATGTTTCCGACAATGTAATCTGTGATTTTTGGCTTTTAATGGGAGAATCCAATCCTTATCTATTAATTACGTCAATTTGATGTTTGTTTGAAATCCGGCGATTTCAACAAATCAATTTTTTATAAATGGGGACTCATTCTTCTATTGTTGTACCAATACCACAAATCTCATCTTACTTAAAAAATATCAATGGATCCATCTGAATTTCCTTTTGATATCGAAGCTTACAAAAGACAGTCTGAAATTAAAGAGAGGTACATCGTGAACCGGTTTAGAGAGCGTCGAAACAAAATAGAGGAAGACTATGCAAGTCGTAGCAAGAGAAAATATTTCAAGAGAGATCATGTAGCTGCAAACCAAAGACTGATTGACGACTACTTTGCCAATCAACCTACATATGACGATGCAATGTTTCGTCGGCGGTTCCGGATGCGAAAAATGTTTTTCTTCGGATCGTTGGGGACCTATCAAGCACTGATAACTACTTCACCCAACGAGTTGACGCAGCCAATAAAGACGGTATATCTCCATTAGCAAAATGTGCCACGGCCATGCGAATGTTAGCATATGGTGTGGCGGCCGATGCAGTCGATGAATACATAAAAATTGGAGGTACTACAACATTGGAGTGTTTGCGTAGATTCTACAAAGGAATCATACAATTGTATGAGCAAGTGTATCTGAGAGCTCCAACTTAGGATGACTTGCAAAGAATTCTGCATGTAAGCGAGATGCGAGGGTTACCGGAGATGATCGGGAGTATTGATTGCATGCATTGGGAGTGGAAAAATTTTCCTACAGCGTGAGAAGGATTATTTACTCGGGGAGATAAGGGAACCACCACTGTTATTCTTGAAGCAGTTGCATCTCATGATTTATGGATTTGGTATGCCTTTTTCGGGTGTCCGGGCACATTGAACGATATAAATGTTCTAAATCGTTCACCAGTATTTGATGATGTTGAACAAGGAAAGACTCCAAGAGTGCACTTCTTCGTGAACCAACATCTATACGATATGACATATTTTCTAGCTGACGGTATCTATCCTTCTTATCCAACTTTCGTCAAGTTCATTAGACTTCCTCAGAGTGAACCAGACAAGGTATTCACACAAAGTCAGGAGGGATGTCGGAAGGACATCGAACGTGCATTTGGAGTATTGCAGGCTCGATTTAAAATAATTCGTGAACCAGCTCGCATGTGGGACATAACCGATTTAGCTATCATCATGAGGTCATGTATCATATTGCATAATATGATTGTTGAGGATGAACGAGATACATATGTTCAACACTGGACTGATTATGATCAATCTGAGGAAAGTGGGTCTAGTACACCGCAACCATTCTCGACCGAGGTGCTTCCTGCATTTGCAAATCATGTGCGTGCTAGATCTGAGTTGCGTGATTCAAATGTACTTCATGAATTGCAAGCAGATTTAGTGAAACACATATGGGCAAAATTCGGTAATTAAAGAGATTTTAAAGTCTTTATGCGTGATTTAAAATTGTTTTTGAATTGAGTTTATTGTACCAATTAAGTTATGTGTGTTTTATTAAATTGTGGTGTGTGTTTTATTAAATTGTAACGTGTGTTTATTAATATATTGTATTGTATTTTATGTTTTCTGTAACTTTATTTATCTTCATAATGAATATTTTTATATTTTCATTATATATTATTTTGGAAAAAATTGAGAATCTAAAATAAGAAAGAAAAAAATTAATAACTCTTAATTATTTTAATTTGATTTTAATCGCTAATCGTTATTAATATATAATTATAAAAGTAAAAAACATAAATAAGAAATGGAATATAAAATAAAATAAAAGGTGGGGTAGAGTGTTGAATTTTATGAAACAAAACTATTGTAGAGGTTAAAATTGAAATAAGTGTTGAATGATTAGGTGGAAGAAAAAGGAGATGCTGTGGAGTGAAAAGGAGGGTGTTGAATAAGTAAACCATTGTAGATAGTCTTACAAGCCACATGAGCAACTAACTAACCTAACAACTCCATTAGCTTAAATAGACTCCTTCCATATAGTTTAGTTTTTCTGATTTCCTTGGTTTGAATACAAAATCGGCATTACTCAACACAAAGGAACCACTGTTACTGGGAATGTTCACTCACATGAAGAAATAAAACTTTTTTAGTTACATTTGTCAAAAAAAATTGAAAAATTTAAAAATATCTCTAAAATAATTAATTTATACTCGAAAATAATAAATATTAATATTACTATAAATTAATAAAATATCATTGTCTCAAGTCTCAACATTATTATTTTATAGAGGTTAAACGGTATTCATCAAAACAAGGTTATGTTTCTTTTTGTAAAGGTTATTTACGAAAAATGCCCAAAAAAAGGCCATGAACTTTATAACAGAGAAGTTGGCTTGATTTGTGATTAGATGAATGTAGCATTTAAACCTTAACTAACGTGAAAGATGAAATTGGAACGACATAATGAGAAATATTCAACTCCAAAATTTAATCGTCATGCGTCATAAAGCTTTAATTTTTAAGCCCTAATTAAACCTATATTACGTGCCACTAACTTTACAAGGTCCAGTAAGGAATGTAATTTGTACTGAAAATATAAAAAAAAAAAAAAAGAGAAGAGAAAGTTCAAAGGAATTATTGTGTAACTTAAGCAAAAGAAGTCTTATTATGCCAATAATTGAAGTAGCCAACGACTCATTGAAATGTCTTTCATTATATAGTCGTCGAGGACCACTGGCCTTTAGTTATATCGTTCTAAAATTGGAATATGATATTGTAAAGCTTGCCATTACTTTCCATGAAATTTGTCAAGAAACAAGTTGGAAGAAGAAGAAGACGAGACGAATCAAGAAGATTCAAAGTAAGACTGCTATTAAGATAGAAAATGGGTGGGATTTTAACAAACGTAGTGGGACGACTCATTTACAATTATTTTCCGTGAAATGTATCATAGACAAGAATCAGGAAAATTCAAATTAAGACAGCTATAAAGATTAAAATAAAAAAAATGGATTTTCTGAAAACGACAACTACTTTTTATCTACCCAATGAATTGTTAGTATATGAAAATATTCCAAGCAATATATATATAACATAATATTTTTATTATAATTGGTTTCAAGAAAATCTGAAGCAGAGACTTCTTCCTAAACGTCGACGAGAGGAGAGTTCTTGGCGCCATCAAGATTAAAAGGTCAGTCCTTTATTTTTTTTTTAATTTTTAGCAAATTTCGTTGTTTATGGTGAATTAAGTGATAATGGGGACGTTTGCCCCCATTGAAAGCAATTAGAAACCAGCTCTGATCAATGATGGAGGATATTAAATTCTCTCCTCCCTCACCGACGCTGGCCTCGCGCCGGTGGTTGGTAAATCTGCTCTATGGGTACCAAAAAGAGGAAGAAGCCTCTTTGCGGGGCTGTGCGTGGCTCCTCCAAATTAGCCCAAATCTCTGCTCGCGCCGTCTCCAGCAAAGGCAAACCAGCTTCCGTCATTGGCTTCTCTGGTGGTACTTCGCCGCCTCCTGCTTAAGCATCTCGCACAGATCTGTCCTAGATTGTTGCCTCGGGGTCTGTGACGTTTTCAGTTCTGAGACCCGCTGCTGCTAGCTCTTCTCCATCCACCGTTGTAGGTCCAACCTCCGGTGAAGCTATTCTCGGAGAAGCCACTGGCTCTCCATACCTCTGCCGTCGCAGATCTCAGTAATGCTCTGGCTGGTTCTTCGCCCACAATTGTTGTAGGTTCATCCTCCGATGTGGTCGACACGGTAGACATCTCCCTTGTCTCTGGCTCACTTCCCATCACTGTCGCAGGTCCATCCTCCGGTGAAGTTATCTCTGGAAGTTCTCCCACTGACAAGGCTATACACATATTCTACAGTGGCCCTTGACACATCCTGCTTAGAGGAAATCAGCTCACCTAGGTCATGTTCGTTTGGTAGTAGCTGGTCTGTCAAACGACAAGTGACCCGAATTTCCAGTCACTAAAAAACAGCGACTACAAAATAAAATAAATATATAATTATAATTAATTTAATATACAATAAAATAAAACAAAAAAACAATAAAATATAATAAAATAAAATAAATTAAATAATTTTAATTACATTGGTTTAAATTAAACTAAAACTAATTAAATGAATTAAATAAAATAAAATTAATGAAAATTTTATAATTTAACTAAAAATAAATGAATTATTTAATTAAGTATTATAAGTTAAGTGAATTAAGTTTCTTAAAAATGTATAGTATATGACTTAAATTTTATTTAAAATTAAATTTTCCTAAAATAATAATTTTAAAATTAAAAATATCACGCATCTATCAGTCGTAGCGATCAGTCGCAGTGACTGTCAAACGAATAACAGAAATAATCGCTGATCGCTGTAACTAGTCGCTAATTGCACTCGCTAGTCGCGACTAGTACACGAACAAGGCCCTACTCAACATATCTCAGGTGTTCCTTTTGTGCTCATATATACCGGATGAGGACATTTAAGCTGCCAAGGAGAAATTTAAAGATTTCATCTTTGCTCAGTTTCATGGCCCTTCTTCAGCAATGGGAAAAGTGATTGGTGTGGCCAACGCAATATGGACTCGTATCTTTGTTCATCAAATTGGAGATGGAACTTTTCTTCTCAAGGTGACAAACTCTAGAATTTGGGATTTGATTCTTAGCTGCAACGTGTGGAACATCTTGGTCATCCGATGTTTGTTACACCTTGGTCGCTAGATTTCAATCCTGACACTCCACTAATCTGCAATCGTGACAGTGGTATTCAGAGGAGTGTCGTGTCGTACCTCCTGTTCAATAAAGAAAGCCTCGGAAGAATTGCAACTGCTGTTGGGAAACCTGTCACACTTTCTCCTGCAACAACTCGCAAAGAGAATTTTTGAAGTTGCGAAGATTCTGGTTCGTGTTAATTTGCAGGAAGAGCTCCCTTCTCGTACTGAACAAAAAACATTTTAGTGGTATCTCAGAAAGAGTTAAAGATGAGGAATCTTAGCTGGATAATCTTCATAGGACCATTCCTACCAGCCCAACTCTGGAGCTGACAAGGGAAGCGCATACTGTTAGAGCAAAATGAAAGTTTTGAGTAATGCGGAGGAGAAGTTTATCGTCAGAGATTCCGTGTGAAATGGATGTATCTTGAGGACTGTAACACAACTTTCTTCCATAAGTCTGTCAAATAAACTAAAATGTTCATTCTTTCGTCAAATAAACCAAATATTAATTAAATGGGAACAATAATTTATATAAATATATATTATTAATGAAAATAAAATAAAAAATTATAGAGAACTATAACCGAGATACGCGAACGTAGATATCAAAAATACAAAATGCTAACAGTTCGTCAAATAAACAAAAGTTTACCACAGTTCATAAAACAAAACAAAAAATTATAATGTTTCGTCAAATAAACCAACTGGTGCAATAGTTCAATTAAACAGTTACAATTTCATTTAAATATGTTTTAGTGATTTTTTTTCCTCATACGTTTTAGTGATTAAAAATTAAAAATAATAATTTATGAAAGTTACACAAAGAAATGCGCTTGTAGATAATTAAATGATATAACAACTTATAAAATAAACCAAAACTTGCATTTGTTCGTAAAATAAACTAAATGTTGCAATGATTCAACTAAACGGTTGCAACCGTTTTTGAAAATTTTCAATAAAATGATGTAATCGTAGAAAATATTTATTCGGATTTCAAATTTCTAACAAAACACAATCGTAAAATATTTTGTTTAGTTTTTTTTAAAAATAAATGTTATAATAATTTATAAATAAACCGAAATGTGCAATTGTTTGTGAAATAATTGTTCAACCAAACTGTTATAACTGTTTATGATGAGTTACGATAAAAAGACACAACTATATAAGTTATTTATTTAGATTGCAACTTTCTAAAAAATACAACAATAAAATCTATTTTTATTTTTACTACTAGACTTTTATTTTATGATTTTTCTTTTGTAAACACTTTACCTCCTAATTGGGCAACCAACCAAGGAGTTATTTTCTAATTTATTAATGTGTGGTTGGAAAAAAATAAAAAAAAATAAAGAAATGTTATAACGATTTGTAAAATAAATCAAAAGTTGCTCGTAAAGTAAACTGAATGTTGCAACCGTAAAAGATATTTATTCGGATTGTATTATTAAAAGTAAACATAACCGTAAATCTATTTTTTATTAAATTTTATTTTAATGTTAAACGATTTATAAAGTAATCCAAAAATTGCAATTGTTCGTGAAGGAAAAAATGTTGTAATACAGTTCAACTAAACAGTTGCAACCGTTTATGAAGAGTTACTATAAAAACTTCAAAATTCAAAAAGATAATAAAATAATGATATGTGGTGTAATCTTTTTTAAAATAATGAATTTTCGTTAGGGCATGTTTCTAACTTTTGTTGTATCAAACAATTGTTCTAAATGAATTTTCGTTAGGGCATGTTTCTAAATGAATTTTCGTTAGGGCTTGATTCTTATTTTCATATTGGTTTTTTTAATTTTTTTTTTGTCAAAGATTTTAATACTGTATTGCTTAAACAGGAGAAAATATGGAAGAAGTCATAGCTGGGGAACTTGTGTCGTTAGGAATACAAAAGCTTTGGGATTTACTGAGTCGAGAATGCGAGCGAATTCAGGGAGTCGAAGATCAAGTTACTGGACTAAAACGTGATCTAAATTGGTTAAGCTCTTTTTTAAAAGATGCATATGCCAAGAAACATACAAGTGAGGTGGTGAAAATCTGTGTTGAAGAGATCAAGGAAATTATTTGTGATGGAGAGGATACTATAGAAACCTTTCTTCTGAAGCAAAAACTCGGAAAAACAAGTGGAATCAAGATGCGTACCAAAAGACTTGCTTGCATTGTTCCAGATCGCAGGGAAAGTTCATTAGATATTGCAGGCATACGTACGAGGATCTCCGATGTTATCCAAGATATGCAGAAGTTTGGAGTACAACAGATGATCATTGATGGTGGGTATATGCAACCTCTACGTGATAGACAAAAGGAGAGACGAGAAACATTTCCCAAGGAAAATGAAAGTGATGATTTTGTGGCGTTGGAGGCAAATGTTAAGAAATTGGTTGGATATTTTGTGGAGGACGCTAACGTTCAAGTGGTTTCCATAACCGGAATGGGTGGTCTTGGTAAAACCACCCTTGCTAGACAAGTTTTTAATCATGAGGATGTAAAACGTCAGTTTGACGGGTTCGCATGGGTGTGTGTTTCACAAGACTTTACTCGGAAGAATGTATGGCAAAAGATCTTGGGTGATCTCAAACCCAAAGAAGAAGAAAAGAAAATCTCAGAGAAGACAGAACCTAGACTCCAAGATGAACTAATTCGATTGTTGGAAACGTCTAAGTCATTAATTGTCCTTGATGACATATGGAAAAAAGAAGATTGGGACCTAATCAAGCCAATATTTCCACAGACAAAAGGTGACTTCTTATGGTACAATTACTAGCCTGTACTCATACTCATTACTCAATAAGTAAGCTAGCTAACTCTTTGTGTTTGGTTTTTGTTTTGGCAGGTTGGAAAGTGTTGCTCACTTCACGAAATGAGAGTATCGTTGTGCCTAGAAGTACGACATACATCAACTTAAAACTAGAATGTCTAACCACTAAAGACAGTTGGACACTTTTTCAAAGGATAGCACTTCCTATAAAAGATGCATCAGGTAAATACTCGTTTTTCTGCATATTATTTTCTATTTCATGTCAGTATCTTAAATTTGTAGCCTACTTGTAAAATAATTTAACATAGTGATGATGTTGTGCAGAATTTAAGATTGATGAGGAAATGGAAGAGATAGGTAAGGAAATGATCAAACATTGTGGAGGGCTACCATTGGCAATCAAAGTGTTAGGAGGTTTGTTAGCTGCAAAGTACACACTACATGATTGGAAAAGATTATCTAAGAATATTGGGTCTCATCTCCTGGGAGGAAAAACTAATTTTAATGGCGACAACAACAATTCATTCAACTATGTATTGTCTCTGAGCTTTGACGAGTTGCCTAGTTATTTGAAGCAGTGTTTCCTCTACCTGGCCCATTTTCCAGAAGATTATATGATAAAGTTAGAGAACTTGTATTATTACTGGGCTGCAGAAGAAGTATTCGAACCTAGGCATTACGATGGAGAGACCATTCGAGATGTTGGAGATGTCTACGTAGAGGAGTTGGTGAGGAGAAATATGGTCGTATCTGAAAGAGAAGCTACGACTCTGAGATTTGAAACTTGTTATTTGCATGACATGATGAGAGAAATTTGTTTGTTGAAAGCCAAAGAAGAGAATTTCCTACAAATTACCAGTAGCGGCCCTCCAACCGCAAACCATCAATCTACTGTCAAATCTCGCAGATTTGTCTTACACAATCCTACTACATTACATGTTGGGAGAGATATAAACAATCCAAAACTTCGATCTCTCATGGTTGTTCAGGTGAATAAGTCAAGATGGAAGCTGTCAGGTTCAAGTTATAGAAGGGTAGAACTTTTAAGGGTGTTAGATCTCAGTGGAGCCAAGTTTAAAGGAAGGAATTCAGCTCAGGGCATTGGGAAGCTCATCCATTTAAGATACTTAAGCTTAAAACATGCTAAGGTATCTCATATACCTTCTTCTCTAGGAAATCTGAAGTTGCTGATCTATCTGAATTTATCTGTACATACTAGGCCTATATGTGTACCCAATGTCTTGAAGGGAATGCAAGATTTGAGATACCTTGCATTACCATATGTTATGCGGAGGAAGCCACAACTAGAGTTGAGTAATCTAGTAAACTTGGAGACCCTGAAAAATTTCTCAACAAAGAATAGCAGTTTGGAAGATCTTCGTGGTATGGTCAGGCTGAGGAGTCTCATCATCAGATTAACTGAGGAGACGACTATGGAAACTCTATCTGCATCAATAGGTGGACTGCAATACCTGGAAAATCTTGATATAGAGGCAAGTGACTGGAGGATAAAAGAAGAAATAGTTTTGGATTTCGCTCATGTAAAAAAGCTGAGTTTTGGTACGATTATGCCAAGACTTCCTAAAGAAGAACACTTCCCTTCTCACTTAATGATATTGGAGCTGGGATCATGTTATTTGGAGGAGGATCCAATGCCGATTCTTGGGAAATTGCTTCATTTGAAAGAGGTTCGTTTTGGGATTGCTGCTTTCTATGGAAGCGAAATGGTTTGCTCGGACGGTGGGTTTCCTCAGTTGGAGAAGCTCGATATAAATAGACTATATAACTGGGAAGAGTGGAAAGTAGAAGAAGGCTCCATGCCCCTTCTTCATACTCTTTCTATTAATAGATGTCGAAAATTAAAAAAGCTTCCGGAAGCGTTGCAATTCATCTATTCTTTAAAGGATCTACAACTGGACATGGAATGGAAGGAGAGACTGTCGGTAGGAGGAGCAGATTATGACAAAGTCCAACACATTCCTTCTGTTGGATTCTATGCAATTACGGACGAGGTAAAATATTGTTTCCTCATATCTAAATATCAAGTACACAAAATCAGTCATTCAGAGAAAGGAATGTTGTTCAGTTTAAATTTCGGGCAGTTTGATTTATGGTATTCTTGTAAAAACTTGATCGTTAATATGGCTCTATTGGGTAAATTAAGCAATGTTTGTTTTCAATTTCAGGCACGTGAAATGATACTACAGGCCTACAGTGATTATATTATACGACATGTCTAAGTGAGACTTAATCAGTGAGTTTGGGAAGAGTTGAAGAGAGACAGGGTTTTCACGAACTCTGTCTGGTATGACAAACTCATATCTATCTATTACTTTGCTGATTCAGAGAGATCTGAGGCATATCATTCTGCAATTAGTATAATTCTCTTTGTGTTGTCTTTTATCTGTGTGTGTTACCAAGCGACTCGGCTTGACTGTTCATTACAAACTTTATCTCTGTATGTAACTTTATTAGTTGCTTTGAACTTGTGTTTTACCTCTCATAGATAATTATTCACTCCACTATTCATGGTTAAACATGGAGACTTGTGGCCGAGACTATTGTACGTATATAATTTGGAGTTCTATACGCTTTAGGAGCCTGTGAATAAAAAATCTGAATATTCACAGAGAGGTTATGAGTAAGTTATTGAGATAGAACGTCAGCGGAGATTGTTACACTTTCCTGAAATATGCAAATTCCGAGAACATTGAAAAATTGTTGATTCAGTCGCATGAGTGTAGTTCACATGAAAATAACGAAAGCTTGGACCAGATTATGAGGAACATAAATACTCCCTCCGTTCTTTTATAAGTGACCATCAAAGGTCAGTTTCCAAACTTCAACCTTGAGGACAAGGTGAGTATCAATGGCGGGGTATTGATACATATGCAGCTCAACACCTTCCTATTCTCTACCAATACAAGAGGAAGAAGAAGAAGGCCCAAACCAATGTGAAGTAAGGAAGAGAGGATCCAGCTACTCCAAGAAGTGTTCATGGGCTTTAAGGAGAGTTACTACTATAGTTATCAATAAACCATGGTTAAGTAAATGTCACTTTCTCATTGCACATGGCCTTAACGGTTCATATGCGTGGAGAAGGGTTTTGGCAATTAGTATATAAGTAAAGGGTGGGATTTGGGGAGAAGTATCTCTAATTTGGTAAAGCCGTAAAGGAGTTGTAAGGAGGAGGGGAGAGAATCCGTAAGCATTTCTCTCAAATCTGTACCTTTTCTTTATTATCAATATCAAGTTCTTCTTTTTACTTTGTCTTATCTGAGATTAACAAGTAAAACGTATCAAGACTATGTATATGTACACATGATGGTGTTCGATGAATTGTCTAACTGTGAATATCCTTGACGAGATATGTAACAGGTAGTCTTGTGATCCTATTCTTAAAAGTTTCACAAGTGTCTAGAACAGAAGATCTAATAAACAAGACACCTGAATGATCATGTTTTTTTCTGTTTAGAATCACCAAACAAGAACATTTTTGCACGTCGGAAGATAGTGCTTACTTTTTACGATGGTTTACTTTCATATCCGAGATGTTGAACCCCTAAAGAATGTTGGAAACCATTTTGATGGATAAAACATTTTTTTTTTTTGAATAATAGGAGGTTCTGGGCCAAAGCCCGTAATTTCCCCACCCGAAACCACAATATTTAATATTAGTTTCGTCCTAAGCGTCACTCGAACCGGCGACTTCTAAGCTTCACGTAGGGTCTTTACCAGTTGAGCTAACGACACTTGGTGATGGATAAAAATTTTTCATAGGCTATGCTGAAGATTGATAAAAAATATAGCTGTGCCGAAGAAGGGTGACCAGTTGCAGGCCCGGCGCGCAGGACAGGCTACCCAAGCCACTGCTTGGGGTCCCACAATTTTTTTTTTTTTGTTTTTTTTTTTTTTTAGTATTTTTTTGGTTATTGAGGCCCATTTTGAAATTTTACTTAGTTAAATTAGTGATATTGAAGCCCATTTTTTTGGATATTTTTTTAAAACAATAATAAAAATTAACATATATAAAAAAAATCATATGTTAAATATTGTTAATAAATATCAGGGCCTCATTTTATATTTCGTGTAGGGTCTCACAAATGCTCGGACCGGCACTGACCAGTTGGAAGGTGCATACACCCTGAAGACGTCCTACGCTTTGAGGGAACTCGAGAAGACCAACTTTGGCTCATACTATTTAGGGATTGAGCATTTTCTGGATTACTCTGCCTACAAGGCGAAGCAGAGTCGTCAGGTCGTAAGAGCGTAGACATAATTTAATCCACTGGCTTATCTCCTTTCTTTATGTTTTTGGCTCTTAAGTGTTACTTTCGAGTTATTGTTTTCAGTTAGATTCCTTGTCACTATGTTTTATTTCGGATTCACTACGAAATGATGCAAAGGCTGTTTTCATGTGATGACGAATTCTTTTTGCATATTTCGTCATTATACACACTTAAACTTAATCATTTTTCTTGATTTGTTATATCATACCTTAATTAACCAAGGCCGTCTTAGAAATAATATTTGGTAAAGGTATTAGGAATGTTGAGGGAGGATCAATGTGAGTCTGTTATTATTTCGCTGGGAACACAATTTGAGTTTTTTCATTAGCACTCATAGAAGAAGAGCCAAGAGACCAAACGGATAATATGAACTCTTTACCATACTTAGTGATGTTGGTAGTGTTGTATTTGCCATTATTGGCACAAGAGCTGATTTTGCTTGGTTTGTGGGAGTGAATGTCGTCCCATGATATGTTGTCTATCGGCTTCAGTATGTGTTACTTATCTAATAGTTTGCATTCCAAAAGTTTTTCTATAATAACTTTGTGGACCATATTTGAAATCACATAAACAATTATAAAATAAACCAAAAGTTGTAATTGTTCGTGAAATAAACTAAATATTATAATAGTTCATGAAAAGTTACCATGAAAAAAACGCAACCGTAGAAGACATTGATTCGAATTGCAACTTGAAAAAAAAAACACAATCGTTAAATATATTTTTAGTTGAAAAAAATTGTTATAACAATTTATAAAATAAACTTAAAGTTGTACTTATTCGTGAAAAATGTTGCAATTGTTGAACTAAAGGATTGTAACCGTTTATGAAGAGTTACAATAAAAATAACTCAAATGTAGAAGATTTTACTCAGATCACAACTTTATAAAAAAATCCAACCTTAAAATATTGTTTTTTAGTTTAAGAAAAAAAAATGTTATAACGATTATAAAATAAACCAAAAGTTGCAATTCATGAAATAAACTAAATGATTCAACTAAACATTTTCAAACTTTTATGAAGATATTTACTCGGATTGCAACTTTCTTAAAAACTACAACTATAAAATATATTTTTAGTTAACAAAAATTAAATGTTATAACAATTTATAAAATAAACCAAAAGTTGCAATTACTCGTGAAATAAACTAACCCTCCCCCTAAGATACACCATTGGAAGTGGTCTTAGTTTTATCATTTAAAAATAGAAATTTGATGGTTAAAAAAAAAATTAGGAATTTGATTTTGTAAAGCTTACAATTATTTTCCGTGAAATGTATCAGAGACAAGTTGGAGGAAGAAGACGAAACGAATCAGGTAAATTCAAATTAAGACAGCTATTAAGGTAAAATTAAAAAATGGGTAGATTAGAAGTAGTTGTCGTTTCAGAAAATCAAACACTTCAAATTGTTAGTATAAGAAATATTCCAAGCTATAACATTATTATTATAAGAGACCGTTATTAATAATTCGGTATCACGATGACTCCAAAAGGAGTTTATTGTTTAAAGAAAGACTACAAACATGGAGACTTGTTGACCCAAAGACTTACTTAGATGCTTCACCCAAGAAGACTCCTCAAAACATCAAAGCATCTCTCTTCTTCGGTCAAGATTCAAAAGGTTAGTCATTTTTTTTCCCCCTTAATTCTTAACAATGGGGACGTGAGAGCATCTCATATTTCTCAAGTTCCGGCTTAGCTTAACCAAAGCCTGACTACGCTTAACTACATTGTTTTAGAAATCGAAGGTTGTATACCTAGCTTGTTTACGATTTGGTCATTGCTCAAAAGTTACGTTTTGATGCTATGGACAATACGTTTTTGTCAATATTATGTGTTGTTGGGTGTTTGGGTTCAGATGGAGGAGATTGTTTTGGAAACAAAAGATGCAGTTGATTGGTCATATAGAAGCGAAGGAGTTGTTAATTTGGTTCTCGCTTACACTGGATCCTCTCCCACTTTCGTTAGTATCATCTCTTTCTCAATCCCAAAGATCCTTTATTTCTAGTTTTTTGGGGTTAGGAAGAAGTATATAACATTGACTGTTTTTTCTCTTGTGTGGTATATGTGAAGTTGGGAAAGGTGATGAGGACAAAAAAAATGCGAAACACTGGGAATGAAAATGGAGACAGAAGTGGAAATGGTCTTACGACGCAGGAAAAGCTTATTTGGGGAGATATTAAGGATCTTGTATCTTGCCAAAACAAGGAGATTGCGGAATATTTGTTTGTCAAACATGTCATGAAACCATTGTTGGGTCACAAATATGTTAATGCTGGAGTAAGTTTCCCTTGTCATGATTCTAACACGTTACAAGAATCTCCAAGTTGCATTTGGGATGTTTTAAAGGTTTTTGATGATTTGGGAATGTTGCAGATTCCCCTTCCTGTAGAAAAGGAGTTTCTTGAGTCTGTTAAGACAATAGTGACATCTCAGCGTCATTCTTGGCGAGCCAATGCAGCCAGTGTGGATACTAACCGCAGTTTTGCGCTTCTCTTGGATGATTTGACCATTTTCTCCCATGGTAAATCAACTATTCGTGAATTAAGCTCTTTCTTTTCATTGTTCTATTTGACTAGTATTGCAAGCAACAGTTGATGTTTATCTCTTGGTTGATCCAAATTGATGATGGATTTAAGCTATGGTTTATGGTTTAATAACCTCCTCTGCTTTCAGGTCAAATTGAAGATCATAAACCATGCTTAACTGTTGAAATAAAGGTGTTGATGATTTCTTTCTTTTTAGCTAACAATTTATTCCTTTTTTCTTGGCTGATATATTTACTTTGGTCAAGTAGCCCAAATGTGGATTTCTTTCATCTTCAAGTTTCATAGCGGGAGAAAATGTTATTAAGAAGAGTATAAGTCGTTTCGAAATGTACCAAGTTCTAAAGCTTAGAGAAAACCAGGTGCTTTTTCTCCTACATCCTTCTGAAACCACAATCAAACTTGGAAGCTAACATATTAAAGCCATGTTTTTCAGATATCACAAATCAGTGAATATAATCCCTTAGACCTTTTCTCTGGATCCAAAGATAGAATACACAAAGCGATAAAAGCGCTCTACTCGACTCCTCAAAACAGTTTACAAGTGTTCTTGAATGGTTCTCTGGTATTTGGAGGTTTCCGTGGTGGCATATGCAAAACAACCCCAAAGCTTGAATTAGCTTTTGAGCATAAACTCAAAGATTTCTTCAAAACCGAAGATGACAGCGGCGTACGTGCTAATACTTTCATAGAGCTTGTTACAGAAACTGTTTACGCATCTGGAGCTCTAGATCAGCTTCTTGACGTTCAAAAGCTTGACAAATATAACATCGAGGGAGCGATTCACGCTTACTAT